TTCTATTTGTAGAAAAAATATGCAGTGGTATAATAATACAAGTAACATACAATTAACAGCAAATAGAAATGATCGAATGCCAAAGAAAAATCAATTTTACAACTTGTATTATGCAATGACAACTATCAAATATCATGATGATGTTTAAACGAATAAATAAAATGAAATAATTTCTTCAAAAAAAATACTGGTCAAAATATTCCAATTTCATTTCTATGGTAAATTCATTTTTAGGAAAACATACACAATATTTTTGGAAAAAGAGATTAAAAAGAAATTTAAGAACATTTAAAAAAAAATTCTAGTAAAATTAAAAAAAATTTAAGTAATATATGTACAAAAAAGCCAGAGGATGTGCTAGCACAATATTGAAGTAAATTTACATATATATCAATCGAATCCTATGAAGTAGTTTTCTATTTAAAAATTTTGAGATACTATTTTGCTGTGAAAAATTATTATATGTTGTAGTACAGATTACGAAAAATAAAATCAATATAAAATCACTAATATCATAATAAATATCATCCTGTTAGGATATTATTTATATATTTTCTGCATATTTCTTAGATATATTTCAGCTGTACAAAAATACTTTGATTTCATTAGTTAACCTATATATAATTTCTTTAACACGTCCAATTGTTAATAATAAATTATTTTTTCTTTAATTGCAAAATATATGTATATTGTAAATAATGTTAATGTAAGAGCTAATAAAACAGCTTAATGAAATTGAAACTCTATAGTACAGGAGCAACGCAGTTATCTTAAAATAATTAATTTTCAAAAGAATTCATTTGCGACCATGATTCTTTTGAAAATTTTGTTCATAATAAGTATTACTCAATTCAAATATAATCTTGAATTTCAAAGTATTTGTCATCAATTTGGTGATCATTTTTTAAACAAATCTTTACCGACATAAAAATATAAAATCACGCCCCAGTAGCATGAACATATAATTTTTATCTTCTATACAATTACATATTGTGATGTTTATTTTACATATTGATATAACATGCTTATAAAAAATCTGCAATATAATAACTCTCAGGATAATGAAATTAAATATTTACGTAATTTGTTTTAAAATTGAGCTAACAAAAAGATTATTTATTATTATAAAGTTTTACATTTTCACTTTTATAAAAAAACCTTCGTGATAAGTACATGTATAATCTTGCTAGTTTACAACCAATCAACGAGCAGTATTAAAACTTGCCTTAGGTAGGTATTGTTATTATTTACTAGCTTCCTTATATATATCCCAAGGATGCTAACCTCACGTATAGTCGTATAAAATATGTAGCGAAGTAAACGTTACAGCTTTTATGTTTACTATATATTAATTGGTACATAGGAAGTGCTAAATGGTAATATTTTATACATAATAACATTCATAAAATGGAAAAATGTATATCAATTTTGTGTAAATTATTCTAATTTTAAAATTATGTTTCAGATTGGATAAAACGGTAACCGGACAGAAATTCAACGTGTAAAAGTAAGTCACGAAAACATTTTTAAAATGTCCCAGCAAACGGTTCGTCATATTTAAAAGAAAATTAATTTTTCACAAAAACTAATACAATACTTGACGAGACAAATCGAATGGTGTATTTCGTGTCAAACTCGGAAAATGGACGTTTGCTAGGAATATATTGCTAACGATATATTTCAATAATAATAATTTGACTTATTTTTATATAAGAATGATAATATGTTTTAATTTTAAGTAACCATATTGATTGTAACTTTCAAAATTGTACAAAATTTAATTGATATTTTAATTTAACATGTGTTGGTCCGATTTTTAATGCTTGGGATGTATGTATATTATTAAGAAATACATATATTATAAGATGAAGAATTTAAGATACAAAACAAT